GTTCTGCAGAATACTACGTTGACAAAAAATATTACAGTACTACTACTTAAACTGACACCTTATCCGAAACAGTCGGAGTTCAAGCATGGTGAATTTACGAGATGGATGAACTTCCGGATCGAAGCCTGCAATTCTTCGAGTAATCACTTGCACAACTGACCAGCAAATCATGAAGAAAGCCTTCGTTTTGCCAAGTTGTCAAGCGTCTCCAAAAGGTAGCGTTATTACTAAGTAGCAATCTTCTTTTTCAGCCTCAATGTACGATGAACATTTTGAAAGCACAGGCTATGTCTGATTGTTATCCTGTCACTCAAGTACTATTCAAGTTGCTTCTTCCAAGTTCCCACGGCGCCCTGCTGAGAGAAGCTCTCAAGTTTGCCATTGTTTTTGCTTTGTTCACTGCTACATACTCTTTGTGTGCTTCGGTCTGCACTTTGGACAGCTCTACCCACAGCTTTGTAAGTTCGTCATACAGGCCGCATGACCTCCCCCTCAATGTCGCTGAAGGATTATGTACACCGCCTTGAATCTTCACTTGCATCATCAGACTTATAGTCCTCTCTCTCCAGAGCATCGCTGCCGATTCCGCCCATTCCGGTCCAGCTTGAGTCATCTGGTCAGTCCGGCGGATCCCAGCCAAGACGGACACCCAGAGCTCCTGCGAGTCAACCTCGAGCTTGCAAGTAAGCTGGGCGTCCGCCAAGAAGCTTGCTAGCAGCTCCAGCTTGCACTGAGAGTACCTACCTGATGTTGTTTCAGATGTGCAGTCCTCTGCTTGGAAGCTGGTCACAAGCAGGGAGAGCTCCTGAACAAACGCCTCAGGAAACGCTTCCCCGTGCTCCTCCCAGCACCTGAGCAACCGAGCTACATGCACCTCGGTTTTGACCTCCACTTTCAGCTTTTCTTCGGTGATGTCGGTCGCTTGAAAGATGGAGGGCCATCCAATCACGTCGCGAAGCACCCACCCAATGACGACAGAAGGAGCCGCGGTCACTTCTCTGTTAGAAGTATTTGCGCACTGCCACTCGGGCCACACTGGCGCATTTTTGTTAGAAGTATTTGCGCACTGCCACTC